TTCTGTGTATTCAAGTATTTTCAAATACACAGCCCAAAACAAGTACTTTTATTTGAGTATTTGAATGGTTATTTGTAAAATACAAATAGTCTACCCAATTGTATTTGAGAGTATTTTCAAATACTTATTTCAAATACTATTTTCAAATACCTGGGTATTTGAGTCAGTGTATTTGAGTATTTTCAAATACTTTCCAACTGTACTTCAAAATACATTAACATATAAACGTTAACACTAATTATTTTCAAATAAAAGACATCTGAATACTTCCTTCGAATGTATGTGAAAGTCATTGAAATATCTGAAATAGTATTTGAACCCAGGTCCGGTGTGTGTGTATGTTTGTGTGTGTGTGTGTGTGTGTGTGTGTGTGTGTGTGTGTGTGTGTGTGTGTGTGTGTGTGTGTGTGTGTGTGTGTGTGCTCGCGCGCGCGTGTGCGTGCGTGCACATAATGTGCAACAGACAGAAAAAGAGAGAGGTGTTCATTTTGTTGTCTATGTCCTAATACTGTACTGTATATGCATCAACCCAAATAATGTTACTCCATCAATTCAACAGCATTTAGTCACTTAGCATAAGAACGCCATAACTATAACTCTAAACAAAGCATACCTTTAGAGTAGTCTTCTCACAGCCGAGCTTACCTTTGGATTGAGGAAAACAAATGCTCCCAGAATGCAGCGTCAGGCGGAACCTTTCTCAAGCCGCGGTCAACAGCGCCACGCTGCACTCCATGCAGGAATATCTTGCCTGAACGGATAGTGAGCAGGTAAAGCTTTGTTTGATACAGTTGTATGGCTGTATATCGGCTCATGCAACCATAGTAATAAAAAAGATCAGTTATTAACGGTAATTGTTCGTGTCGTCTAATTTTGCTCAGCGGATGTAGTCGAATTAGTAGATAGCGAGATTGTTTCAGGCTTCCAAACAGCATATAAAAGTTTTGACCATATTATTGCAGCGACCCATTTATAAGCGTGAATAACGACTCTGCCACTCAGGCTTGCTTTTGTGGCATAGTCCGCTGTAGAATATATGCTGGGCTTCGGGCCAAAATGTTGATGGTTCGAGCCTGCCTGTTTCATTACAGTATGTTGACAACTTGAAATGTACATCTTCTAATCTAGGCCAATAAAACAACATGAAAATTACAAAAGAAGGTTGGCTGCTGTTAGCCCAGTATTTCAGCTGTTGCATTCACCAAAACATGCATAGGCTATAGTGATGGGTTACTCACAGTAATGATTTGTCTGTATCACAAGGCCACATAACCTATGTTATGGAGATTGATTTGTGTTTTCTTTAGTGTGTCAACTCACCATGGGAGCTAAACCAAAACAGAATTAGGATTCAGTTAATACAGGAAATGTTACTCTTCAAACCAATTGTGTTATGACCATCAAAGGACATGCTTTACATTAGTGTTGTAAATAGCAGTGCGTAATATAGGTGTGTGAAATATAGTATGCAAAAAAAAAAAAAAATGTATACACTCACTAACTCTGAATAAGAGCGTCTGCTAAATGACTAAAATGTAAATGTAAATGTGAGTCAATGAAGAATTAACTGCATTTCAACTCTGATTTTGTGTTGCGTTAATTTAAGATGCATACCAATGTGTTGCTTTTGTCATATCTCGGTGTTAACGTGGTCATCTACTCATCTCATTAGGAATTGTAGGCTATCTTACATAAGTCTGCAAATGCGATGACGCATGGAATGGTTTATTATAAAGGTAAATTTTTATGGTTAAACTTAGCTTCCCCAAACTTGAAACTCACGCGACGCTTATGTGTCTAACTAGCTGTCATGCCTAGAAAAGCAAGCATTAACTAAATATATTGAATTAGACTCACATTCCTTTCAATCTTTTACGCAGATATTAGCAGAGATACAGAGAAGCATTTTTATTTGTGTGTGTGTGTGTGTGTGTGTGTGTGTGTGTGTCAGTCACCAGATCTCAACCCAATTGAACACTTATGGGAGATTCTGGAGCGTCGCCTGAGAGAGTTTTCCTCCACCATCAACAAAACACCAAAATATTTAATTTATTGTGGAAGAATGGTGTCGCATCCCTCCAATAGAGTTCAGAAAACATGTAGAATATATACCAAGGCGCATTGAAGCTGTTCTGGCGCCTCGTGGTGGCCCAACGCCCTATTAAGACACCATGTTGGCGTTTCCTTTATTTAGGCAGTTACCAGTTTGTGGCAGTGATATGCCTGGAGAGAGATTCTGGCTGACTTCTTTATGAGATGGGTTGTACAACCTGCTTATCCTAACCAAATTAGATCTGAACATATAGCTGGGGATTATATCACATGCAGCATTAAGGAATTGTGTTTATCTAAGAAATCATGCTTTCGTGGTGTACTGATGCTGTTGTGGTTCTGTTTTTCCCTGTAGCAATATGTTGAAAATGTCACTGCCCGCTGTGTTTACAAGGTCAAACCTTCCTTTCCCTCTATCCGGCACTCGTTCTGCTGCGGCTGTCCAGGGTGCTGAAGTGGTCTCGCTATGCTGCACTGCGAGCGGAGTATTTTCTGACGGGCTGTTTTCTGTTACAAGCTACGTAATCTACGAATTAGTAGTCCGGTTTCTTCCATTAAAACTTCAGATTGTAAACTACCCTCAAAAATAATGGAATAGGCCTCTCTAACTCATTATTCCACCTTTAAAGGCTGCACGGCGACTAGATTCAGTTGTATTGACCATGTAGTCAGAGAGTGTACACTAATCGCTCCTGCGTTCTTTCCTGTAGCCTCATGGCGTCGCTCCTCGCCAACTCTATGCTTTGGGTCTTAGAACACTCCCATTTCGTTTTGAGCTACAGTATATGAGCAGGATTTATCCACACAGCCATTTCCTCGCGGAGCATAACGCGGAGTACTGTAAAACAGACCATTGGCCTTTGGGATTTCGTGTAGGTACTGTGCTTATTTACATCATTTTTCATTTTTCAGTGATTGCCATAAGTGAAGATGTCGGTATCTACTACATCATGCGGATCTAAATGGCGTGTGCAGTGTGCTATGTTTTTGCTTGCTATCATGGAGGCCTCTTTTGCGGACATTCGATATTCTGTTCCAGAGGAGACAAAGACAAAACATGTAATCGGGAGCTTAAGTAGTGACCTTCGTTTGGATCTTAAGCGACTTAGGGTTCGGAAGGCCCGAGTTGATTACCAGGGAGAGAAACGGTACTGTGGAGTCGACTTGGACTCCGGAGATCTCATTGTTCTAGAGAGAATCGACAGGGAGACGCTTTGTGAAACTACCGCACCCTGTATCTTGCATTTTGAGTTCATCCTGGAAAATCCTTTGGAGCTGCACAATATTGAGCTGGAAATACAGGACATAAATGACAACGCACCTCTTTTCCCCAAGGATTTAATCAAACTGGAAATAAGCGAATATGCAACAACAGGCAGTAGATATAAAATAGCTTCTGCTCGCGATTTAGATGTAGGCATTAACTCAGTTCAAAGCTATGTGCTTGGTCAAAATGATTATTTTATTTTAGATGCAAAAATCAGCAAAGAAAGGTATGTTGAAATTGTATTGCAAAATAGTCTCGACCGAGAGAAGGAAGGCGAACATTCTCTAATGCTAACGGCAATTGACGGGGGGAATCCACTTCGGTCTGGTAGTGTTACAATAAATGTTCTCGTAATTGATGTAAATGATAACGGTCCAATATTCTCGCAAGCTCTGTATACGGTAACCGTTTTTGAAAATTCACCACAAGGTACCTCCCTGCTCAAGGTAAGCGCAACTGATAAAGATGAGGGTGCTAATGGTCAAATAACATATTACATTAATCATGCGTCTGAAAACACAAAGCGTTTATTCAATATTGACCAAAACAGTGGGGAGATTACTGCAATTGGCGAGCTTGACCACGAAAAGGCCTCCTCTTATGAAGTGGAGATACAGGCGGAGGATGGCGGGGGGCAGGCTGGACACTGCAAAGTAATTGTTGAAATATCTGACATAAATGACAATGCACCCACAATAACTGTGAAATCAGTCATCAATCCGATTCCAGAGAACATCCCAGTGGGCATTGAAATAGCTGTTATTAATGTAAAGGATCATGACCATGGAGAGAACAGCAGAGTGAAGTGCTTCATTGCGGAAAACCTACCTTTTAAACTCCAATCCTCAATTAAAAACTACTTTACCTTAATAAGCAGCGCAACCCTGGATCGGGAGCAAATATCTGAATATGATGTCATCATAATATCAGCGGATGGAGGAACGCCGTCATTGTCTTCAAGTGTTATTTTGAGTTTCCAAATTTCTGATATAAATGACAACCCACCTGTGTTTGAAGAACAATCCTACAGCGCCTATGTGACTGAAAATAACAAGCCTGGCTCCTCTATATGTTCTGTTACTGCCAGAGATCCAGACTGGAGACAGAACGGCACAGTAGTTTATTCTCTATTGCCCAGTGAGGTCAACGGTGTTCTGGTTTCCTCATTTCTAACCATCAACGGAGACACGGGGGTGATCCATGCTGTGAGAGCATTTGATTATGAGCAGTTTAGGAGTTTCAAAGTCCACGTTGTAGCCAGAGACAATGGTTCTCCCCCACTCAGCAGTAACGTGACAGTGAGTGTCTTCATAACAGATGAAAATGATAACTCTCCCCAGATATTATACCCTGCTCCAGCAGGGAACTCATTGATGACTGAGATGGTCCCCAAAACTGCTCTGGCAGGGTCCCTGGTTTCCAAGGTGATCGCTGTGGATGCTGACTCAGGACAGAACGCTTGGCTGTCATATCAGATCGTGAAATCGACTGATCCGGGACTTTTCACTATTGGTCTCCACAGCGGAGAGATCAGGGCACAGCGGGACTTTTCTGAATCTGACAGTATGAAGCAGAACCTTGTTATATTAGTAAAGGATAACGGACAGCCCTCTCTCTCTACAAGTTGTGATGTGTATTTACTCATATCAGATAACTTGGCTGAAGTTCCAGAACTGAAAGACATGGCTTATGAAGATAGTTCCAAACTAACTTCCTATTTGATAATCGCACTGGTCTCTGTCTCCACCTTTTTCCTGACTTTCATTATTCTCATCCTGGCCGTGAGGTTCTGTCGTAGGAGAAAGCCTAGAATGTTGTTTGATGGAGCAGTCGCCATTCCCAGCGCGTATTTCCCTTCCAACTATGCAGAGGTGGATGGAGCTGGAACTCTGCGTAGTTCTTATAATTATGATGCATACATGACAACGGGCTCAGGCACCAGTGACTTCAAGTTTGTCAGATCTTACAATGACAGTACACTGCCTGCTGTTCAGACACTGAGGAAAGAAAGCAAAGATCAAGATTCGTTAGTGGACACCAAGAACTTGAACGAGGTAGGATTGTAAATCGTTTTGCTAGTACTGTATGCTGTCTCTTAATCTGAGCCCAAAAACATGATTGTTTTCTTAGACATGTTACTTACATTTCTTGTGTTTATTGTTTTTAATTGTGCAAACTGTTGAGCAAACTGTATTACCCTGAACCCCCTTTCAATACCGTCGGTCTAAAGCATACAATTTCAGCATGTCGTTTGAAACTCTTCAGAATTGTAGGCCTATTTTCCCCATTATCTCTTTGTATCCCCATAGTTTTCTGTTTGCAGCAGGTCTGTATTAATCATGACATCATCATTGGACTTCTTATAGGCTGAAGAGTATGATTATTAGATCAATTCAGCTTCACATATTGTTAATTTGAGTATGCATATTACAAATTAGCCTACAGCATGGATAGGCCTATGATGTCCTACTCTGGTAATGAAATCGTTCCTTTATTTAGTAAATGTTGATATGTAACACAGTGTGTCGCTGTTGGCTTACAAAAAATGACTGATTGAAACCCACCCACTCCTGCCCCCAATCCGTCGTTATCTTTTGTCTGGTGAATATTTTCTTCCTTAAAGCCTTTCGCGTTGGATACCCTTACCTAGGTAGAGGTCATATTTGCAGACGTTTTTATATATATATATAGTCTATAGTAAGAGGTTTGGGATAATTTGATTAATCTGAATTGATTATGGAATATAAAAGAGGTTCCATATTGAGGCGAGGGCTATGGACCACCTTTGTCTTCCTATTGCTGACAGTCCATCAGTGTGTCGGGGATATTCGCTATTCAATTGCAGAGGAAATGAAACGAGGTTCTGTGGTTGGGAGATTTTCTCAGGATTTGGGCATCGATGTAAAAACACTGTCGACCAGAAGACCAAGGATCGAATTCGAAGGTAGTACACGATACTGCGACATTAACCACCAGACTGGGGATTTGATTGTGAACGAGCGGATGGACAGAGAGGAGCTGTGCGGACAAAGGCCGTCGTGTGCTTTGCATTTTGACTTATTTTTGGAAAATCCTCTAGAGTTGCACCGTGTCACACTTGAAGTCCAAGATGTTAACGATAATTTCCCAACATTTCCCAATGAAGTAATCAAATTAGAGATCAGAGAATCGGCCGACAAAGGAGAGCGATTTTCCATTGATGAGGCCCTCGACACAGATACGGGAGTCAATTCAGTTCAGGGTTATACTCTTTCGGCAAATGAACATTTCACCTTGTATGTTCACACAAGTGCTGATACGAGTAAATATGCAGAGATAGTACTAGAGCATGAACTAGACCGGGAAAAACAGGATGAGCTATCACTTATTCTGACAGCTTATGATGGCGGAAAGCCACAGACATCTGGCACAGTAGTTATACAGGTCCGGGTACTAGATGCTAATGATAATGTCCCTGTTTTTACGCAGTCTATTTATAAGGTGAGTGTGCCTGAAAACGCTCCATTGGGTACTGCGGTGGTCACTGTCAGTGCCAGCGATGCAGATGAAGGGGCGAATGGAGAGGTTACATATGAATTTAGTCATATTTCTATCAAAACTAAAAATACTTTCTCTATTGATCCAAAAAGTGGAGAGATTAAAATAAAAGCAATGATAGATTTTGAAGATACATCGTCATTTGAGCTGCGGGTTAAAGCTAAAGATGGAGCAGGTCAGGCTGCTTCATGTAAAGTTATTGTTGATGTCGCTGATATTAATGACAACGCCCCAGTCATTCTTATTAAGTCATTCAAATCACCATTCCCAGAAAACTCACCAGCCGGTACAGAGGTTGCCTTAATTTATGTACAGGACAAAGATTCTGAGTCCAACAGCAAAGTAAGATGTTCTATTGAGCAGAACACATCCTTCAAATTGTCCCCATCAATCAAAAACCATGTTTCCCTAATAACTGCTGTGGAACTGGATCGTGAGACACAGTCCGAATACAACATCACTCTTATTGCAACCGATGAAGGATCTCCTCCACTGTCATCTTTTAAAACTATTACGTTAATTGTTTCTGATGTGAATGACAACCCACCAGTGTTTGAAGAACAATCCTACAGCGCCTATGTGACTGAAAATAACAAGCCTGGCTCCTCTATGTGTTCTGTTACTGCCAGAGACCCAGACTGGAGACAGAACGGCACGGTGGTCTATTCTCTATTGCCCAGTGAGGTCAACGGTGTTCCGGTGTCCTCATTTTTATCCATCAACGGAGACACGGGGGTGATCCATGCTGTGAGAGCATTTGATTATGAGCAGTTTAGGAGCTTCAAAGTCCACGTTGTAGCCAGAGATAATGGTTCACCTCCACTCAGCAGTAACGTGACTGTGAGTGTCTTCATAACAGATGAAAATGATAACTCTCCCCAGATATTATACCCTGCTCCAGCAGGGAACTCTTTGATGACTGAGATGGTCCCCAAAGCTGCTCTTGCGGGGTCCCTGGTTTCCAAGGTGATAGCTGTGGATGCTGACTCTGGACAGAACGCTTGGCTGTCATATCAGATCGTAAAATCGACTGATTCGGGACTTTTCACTATTGGTATCCACAGCGGAGAGATCAGGGTACAGCGGGACTTTTCTGAATCTGACAGTACGAAGCAGAACCTTGTTATATCAGTGAAAGATAACGGACAGCCCTCTCGCTCTACACGTTGTGATGTGTATTTACTCATATCAGACAACTTGGCTGAAGTTCCAGAACTGAAAGACAGGGCTTATGAAGATAGTTCCAAACTAACTTCCTATTTGATCATCGCACTGGTCTCTGTCTCCACCTTTTTCATGACTTTCATTATTCTCATCCTGGCAGTGAGGTTCTGTCGTAGGAGAAAGCCTACAATGCTGTTTGATGGAGCAGTCGCCGTTCCCAGTGCGTATTTCCCTCCCAACTATGCAGAGGTGGACGGAGCTGGAACTTTGCGTAGTTCTTACAATTATGACGCATATCTGACAACTGGCTCACACACCAGTGACTTCAAGTTTGTCAGATCTTACAATGACAGCACGCTGCCTGCTGATCAGACACTGACAAGATGTCCAGATACATTATTAGAAGGGAGTATCATCGCTCTCAACATTGCAGGAGAGGCGACTGAGGTAAGCCTTCACTCATCTGAGATACCACCGTTTGTATGTGAGTTGTTTCATTGTGGGAGAATGGGTTGGGTATGTCGAAAATAAATTCTGGGCCTTAATGGCTTATGCTATCCTATAGAAACAGTAGGCCTATACTTGGTTTAGGTGATGATGACTTCTTAGTAGGCAAAAATGTGGAATTTATTCACTCGTTATTTTGCGTGCTTAGTAGAGTTTAAAAGGTGCTAGCTGTTTCTTCTCTTCACTGTGAGGAGTTATTCACTAGGGGTTTGTATTGATGGAAGCAGTTTGCTCCTAGTTTGTTTGGGCTGTGGTTTCCTATAATTAAAACAAGCAATGGAGTTTCGGTTGCTTTTAGTTGAGTATGCCTGTGATCTTTTATTCACTGATTTTCTGATCAAGTTGACAATAAAGCTTGATGGAGATAGGAAAACATGATTTAGCCTACTTTTGAAAAGGAATCAGACGTTTTATAATAAATGAATTGTATTGATCTGGGACGTGGATTTAATGTATTTTGAAACTTGATTATATAGCTTAGGGATGTGTGTTTAGCGTTGTGCATTACAGTTTTTCTCAGTCGCTTTGGTGCATTTTTCACATCATCCCTAACATGTGCAAAATAATAAGTGCATTTCTCAGAACAATTTGTACAAACTGCAATATACAATAGATATGTTTCTAAAGCTAGTCAGTCACTAAAAATCCTTAGTACATCTCTCAAAAGTAAATATTCATGTCAATGATCATGTCAGTGTCATCAGAATGATAAGTCATTGAGTCATTGTTCACTAACAAGGTTGTCAAAATGTTTAGGCATGTTGTCAATGGAACTGTGTACTTTGACAGTATTACCTGATGTAAACTTAGGCTACAGTTTGGATGACAGTTACTGTATTGAAAATGCACAAGGCTGCACTTCTATGGCATATATCAATTTCAACAGTACTATTTACATATTACTGTATGTGGGTTATTGATTGAAAGAGACTGGACAACCCAAGGGGCACAAAGGAAAAAAAACTAAATTAGAAAGAAACACAGGAAACCACCCCTAAGGCACAACTTTGCCCACAGCACTGTTCTAGTGCTGTCTCTACACATCCAGACGTTCCTGTCTGTCAGCCCACATATTCTCATCCACATCACACCGGATATTTTCCCTTCCAATGCAACGTGGAAAGAATCTTTTGGAATGCCTTATCCATCCTCTGCAGGCGTCTACTGTGGTGTCCTCACATGCTGCATCCATTGCAGCCAGCAGGGTCATCTGTGTGTGTGGCTGACGATCGTACACCTTCCACCTCCATGCTGAAAAGAACTCCTCAATTGGGTTAAGGAATGGTGAATAAGGTGGGAGGAATTCTATGAGCATCCTCGGGTGGGTCACAAACCATTGCCTTATGATGTTTGATCGATGGAAACTCACATTATCACAAATGACCACATACTTTGGCAAATCCTCTCTAAACAGACCCCTCTCATCATCAGGGATGAGAGCCCTGTAGAGAGTCTCTAAAAAGTTGAGTAGATGCTGGGTGTTGTATGGCCCTAAAAGGGGGATATGGGTTAGGACACCATGCTCCGAAATAGCAGCACACATGGTGATATTTCCTCCCCGTTGGCCTGGCAAATCCACAGTAGCTCTGTGACCGATGATATTCCGACCCCGCCTTCTGCATTTGGTCAGGTTGAAGCCAGCCTCATCCACGTATACAAAGTTGTGAGAGGGTTCACTTGATTCCAACTCCATTATACGCTATATCCCAGAACACACAGTTGAATTTGTTTTGGTAAGGAAGAGTGACATAAAATGTACATATATTGCATGTTCCTTCCACAGCAATGGAAATGTGTGCAGTTTATGCTTACTGTACTATGTAACACTATAAAATGTTGCTGTAAAGTAGTTACATAGATATATGTTTTACCTGTACATACTGGTACCGTAGCTCCTTAACTCTGTCCTCATTCCTTCGGAATGGTACACGGTACAGCTGTTTCATACTCATCTGGTTTATATGCAGCACCCTGTCGATGGTTGAGATGCTAACCGTATGGATGTTTTCAAAGACATCGTTGTCTTCTATAATGGTCCTTTGTATTTCCCTGAGTCTCATGGCATTGTTTGCTCGGACCATGGTGCAAATAGCCTCCTCCTGTTGAGGTGTGAAAAGGCGTCCTCTGCCACCGGTTTGAGGTAATCTTGCAGTCCTATGTGTGGAAAAATGCAGTGATGCATCGCACACTTTCACATAGACAAAAACTATGCGAACACACATTTTACTGTAAAACATACAGGTGGGTGCATGTAAGGTGCAGTATGTATCTGTATAGAGTATATTTCTGTATGCTGTGAAATACAAGTGGACTACTGTAATATGAAGCATTGTAGGAAGTATACAGTATACTGCTTATATACAGTAACAGTGCACTGTACATTGGTGGACATACCTGTTCTCTCTTCGAAACGTTTGTACTATTGAGGACACGGTTGATCTCCCAATATTCGGCTGCACCCTTCGACCCGCCTCAGCCATTGTAAGGCCATGATTGACAACATGGTCTACAATAGTGGCCCTTATGTCATCAGATATGCGCCTATGTCCTCTTCTGCCTCTTCCTCTGTTTTGCCTTCCACCACGCATCCTTGCTCCTCTTCTTCCTCCTCTTGGCTGTTGACCCTGTTCGTTTCCTGGTCCATCCATTATTGGAAAATTGCAACTCTGTGTTGTGGTCTGTCTATATATGCTTGCCAATTGATTCTTCATGAGATGCACCTTTGAGCAATTTAGACAACTGGTTGATTGTTGGTTGAACTAACACTTTACATTCCTTCATGAGTGAGGGTTAATTTCACCTGCACGATTCAGCAATTTACGTTTTTGTACAAAAGGTCTAATAGAAATGTGTAAAACTATGCTTGACAGTTTATGACAAATAGTTCAACAATTTTGCATGTAATGGCTTATGCAAGGAACTAATGCCTAGATGTTTTGAGGGGTAAGACTATTCAACAGAGAACCATCTACTATATTTTGATCAACATGACATGAGCAATTGAAAATGTGGAAAAAAGCTGACACTTGTACATTATCAATTGCAATATGTACAAAAGCAATTGCAATTTGTTCAAAGGAATAAGAAATTGCTTTAATGATGTGCACAAGTGACTAGTTGATTTGGAATTTGTACAAGTAGTATCAAGAATTGCACTTTTGATCTAAGAAATGCACCAAAGCGACTGAGAAAAACTGTAACATCCCCATTGCCTGCCGTTTTTCTTGAGGTCGGCTACATTTCAGCAACAGACCAGTGGACAGCAACGTGACATGTATTACTTTACTGAAGTCTAAGGGTAAAAAATTCAACGACAGAATGCGAAAGAATTAGCATTATTTTGATGAGTAATGAAACATCGACTGTGAAATCGATAGTTTTCATGATGATGGTTGAAATATTTTATTATCCAGGAAAAACAATTTTTTGCAACTAATGGCGAATTGTGTGAATATTTAGGCATATTTTGTACGTTTTTCCTAATAGCGTACCTCATCCATATCTTCTCATGATCATGTTACGACGAGTTTACTATTGATTTGTAGCCTATATATTTTATGTTTTAATACGGCCGTCTGCGTTTGGAGAATAGGATACATTCTAAGAAGGAAATATGGAAAACAATGTAGGCCTATGAGCATTGTAAGTGCTGTTTTTCTGATAGACTCATGACGTCGCTTTCCACCAGCTAAGTACAGTTAAGTATATACCTCCACCTACTAACGGGGAGTAGGCTACATACACCCTATCGCATTACCAGTACTCACTGAAAAGCGGTTAGACATTGTAACCTTTCTTCCGTTCGGCTATTGATTGTAGACTATATTAGGCATAATCTTCAGTAGGGCCATTTTTTGTCAAGCCTAAACTCTCAATTGGCCTTAATTGCTATTAGATATTGAAGATGGGCTACAGAGGCTTTAGGGTTTTTGTATTTGCTTTTTGTCTTGCTTTTTGCCTTTTCATCATACACATCAGCAACGGAGACGTGAGCTAGTCCAGAGCAGATGAAACGCGGATCTGTGATCGGAAATATAGCCAAGGATCTGGGGTTGGATGCTAAGAGACTGTCGGCTCGAAAAGCTCGTTTAGAGGAGGATGGAACTAAACACTATTGTGACATTGTTTTGAATTCGGGAGATCTTGTTGTCACTGAAATAATATACAGGGAGCAGCTCCTCTGTCGGAGGATTTTATGCACCCTAAAATATGAAATGGTTCTGGAGAATCCATTAGAATTGCATCGCATATCTCTTCAGATTCAAGATCTGAATGACAATTCACCCCAGTTTGCAGATGATGTTATCAAACTGGAAATGTTGGAGTCGTCGGTCACGATGCAGATATAGGTCAGAATGCAGTTCAAAGCTTTTCTTTACAAAGGAATGACACTTTTTGTTTAATGTTCAGACTAATCGAGACGGAGGAAAATACGGTGATTTGACATTAGAGAAGGAATTAGATCGAGAACAACAACAGGAGGTGACGTTGTTACTTACTGCGGTTGACGGTGGGACTCCACAGAGATCTGGTACTGTAGTTACACACCTCACTTTTCTAGATGATAACGATAATATCCCAGTATTTAGCCAGGATGTTTACAAGGTCAGTTTGCCTGAACATTTTCCGTTTTGGTACCTTGAGGTAAGACCACTGGATTTAATACTCATTGGAAAGTGGTGGGAATTTTTACCGAGTGGAACACCCCTGGTTGAATGAAAATGAATGAATGTGCAAATGCAATGCATAACAGGACAGCTATGCCGAATAAGCGATTGGGTGTTATTTTTTGCTTAGAATTATACTTAGTTTTTTCACAGTTAGAAATACACATTCAAACATAAGAACCCATTGACTACATCGTGTTCCTATTTAAATGTAGTACTGGGTACTCTTAATTTATTCAGGTTTTCTAGTAGGCTAATATATCGCTGTGTTCACTACACCAATTCTCAAAATGTATCCATTTGTCTTTTTACATCACCATGTTCGTTCAGTGATTTCTTTTTCGATAGGAGTATCAT